TTGAAATCAACATAGGGGAAATCACTAGGAAATTGAAGGAATCACTCAAGTGTTGTTCGAATTCAAGGGAATTAAGACTTATAGGTAAGAAATTCACTCATAAACTTTGTGTTTAGGACGTCAAGACTGTGAATTCAGGGGAATTAAGTGCATCAATGCATGAATTAAGCTTAAGAAAGAAGTGAAGAAGAGCATCCATGCATGTATGCATATTTCCTTACGTTTTGAGCTTAATCACCATGGATTTTCACATGCATGTGCTTCTTCTAGTATAATTTGGAAATTCAACATGTTTTTGAGCTAAATATCTCATTTGATCATGTTTTGGAAGGTTTGAGTTTATAACATTACGTGCATGTTATATATACATACAATCAAGTTTGCTTGTGAACAGTTAGATTGCTTTTGGGCCTTGATTTGCAAATTGATCTTTAATTCATGATGTTTTATAAGTTTACAAGTGTTTTTCTCAAGTTTTGGTTCAAAAGAATGAGTTTTGATGCATTGGAATTGAGTTTTGGAGCTTAGAGAGCAATCTGAAAAATCCAGAATTCGCACTCTTTGCTCGAGCAAAGAATGCAAGCTCTCAGAAGTTTTGCAGAGTTTGGGGATTGGCTCAAGCAAAAAAAGTTGTCCTCGAGTGACCACCCTTTGTTTTGAACCTTAGCTCGATTGACCGAAAGTTGGCTCGAGCATAAAATTCAAGCTTTCGATACTTTTGCAGATATGAGCCTTGGCTCGAGTGACAGAATCTGTGCTCGAGCGACTACCTTTATTTTTGAACCTTGGCTCGAGCAACCAGAAGTTGCGCTCGCGTGTAAAATGAGAGCTCTCAGAAATTTTGCAAACCAAGGGGTCTGCTCGAGCGAAGAAAGTTGCGCTCAAGCGAACTGTCCTATTTTTAAAAACTTGACTAAGAATTTCAAATTACATAATTGCATCTTCATTGCATCCTAGGCATTCTTAAGCCTTAATTATGACATAATAATGAGGATAAGGAAATAAGTTATGTATTTTTCCAAGCGTGTGCTTCAATGTGTATCCATTATGTGTTTGTGTAGGTCACGCGCCATAGACTGTCTGATCTGTCTCCTCTGCCACTGGAGCTATCTGTGAGTAATAACTCTGTAAAGTTATGTTCATCTTTAAGTATTTTCTGAATGATATGATATGATCAGTTTTCTGAAACGCTATATTCTATATGAGTGAATGATTGTTTGAATTTCTGAAATGTATTCTTGGCATCCTTAGCATCATGTGATATTTGTTATCTGTTACTTGGTACCAGAGGTTCTATCATGGAACTGGTTAAGTATGACCATTATCTGCTCAATATCTGCTTTATATCTGACTGTCTCATGTGATCATGGTTCATATGTACGTCTTATACAATTATGGGCATCTGTTCTGTTAGCGCTAATGGGTGTACCACGTATGACTATCTGCGAATTCTGAATTTTGAATATGAATCAGTTTCTGACTCTGAACTCTGATTTCTGAATCTGTTAAGGACATCATTCATTAAAATCTTTATTCTATTATTATTCACTTGGCTCCAGCTCATTGTATGTTTTATGTATAGGTGATCAGGCACGTGACCAGGCTTAGTAATGATTGCCTGGAGATCTATTCTGTTAGCTAACCACTGTGCCTCCCAAGAAGGTTTCCGTTTTGAGAAGTGATCAAGTTTTGTGAACTATGTTTAAGACCTTTGTTTTCTTTTGTTTAAGTCTGAACAAGTTTTTGTACGTTCTGTATATATGGGTAACGAATGACTAATGTAAACATGACGCCACATATATGTATATAAGTTTTTAATTTTTTGTCTCATATACGTCTACACAGTTCTGTGGACATTATATTTTGATATTGCTTTTGTTAGCCCCTTAATTTTACTAATTTGTTTAGAGGCCTTCAATAATCCCAAGATTACTGGTCGGTTAAGATGTTAAACCTATAGGGGTGGGTTTGGGTCGTAACATTGTTTTTGTGTCATTTTAGTTCTTGTTATTTTAATTGGCTCAATTTTGACTTGAATTTATGATTTTGTATTAATTTGGTCCAATTGATTACAACTTTTACGCTGTGTTTGGTTGAGAGATTTGGGAAGAGATTTGGAAAGGGAAAATGAAAAGTTGTGTAAGACTAAGTGAAATGTGAGTATATTTTATTCACATTTCACTTACCTTTCCTTTTCCCTTTCTAAATCCCTTCCCAAATCCCCTAACCAAAGACACCGTTACTATTTATTTTTATTTTTTTTATAGAAAATACAAACATAAGTGTCATGTATCAAATTTTTAAGGGTAAAATTATAAATTTACTTAAAAATCACTAATGATATTATCAATTGTATTAAATTGGCATAAAATTTAAAATTAAAGGTCATAATTAAGTCAAATAAAAGTGTAAAGACCAAAATGACCAAATGTAAAATATAGGATTATAAATTTAAGGAACATTTACACACAAGTCCTAATTTATGAATTTATACTTCATAAGTCCTAACTAAGATTTTTGAACCTTTAAGTGCCATTAAATTTTTAATAATCGAAATTGCCCTTTAAACAATGATTGTTCATCATTTATGATTATTCATAAAGGAATATGATGATTTGGCATTTATTTTGGTTTTCAAAACTTTAAAACATCAACTTTCAAATTAAAAAAACTAAAAGAAAAAAAAAATTATGTGCAAAAAAAACTCAAATTTTTTTTTTTAAAAAATATAAAAATCTGAATTATTATTATTATTATTATTATTATTTTTTGTAAAATTGAAAATTTTATGTTTCTAAAGGAGTATGATGATGGAACATTGATGTACAAAATTGGAAAAAAAAAATTTACAAATGAAAAAATTGATAATGTTCTCAATTTTATTGGGTAGTTGAATCTAACCAATAAGTAGAAGGGTAAAAACGTTTAATCTTGTGCTCTGTTTTTTTAATCAATTAGTGAAACAATTACCTGAAATATTAGTATGAAAATTAATAATGTTCTCAGTTTTAAAAATTGGAAAAAATAGATAATACTGTCAATTTTACTAAATAGAACTTATTTGTTCAAACAACATTTAGATAGGAATATTATGGGGGTGTTTTGGAAGATGGGTTTGAGGCTAAAATAGCCTCAAACTAAAAAAAAAACCAAAAAGCTCCTAAACCAACCCTTTTTATTAAAAAAAAAATAAAAAATAGGGCTGCTATGGAACAGTGTAGGCACAGCCTACACTGTCACCTTGTCAAGTTGTTCCATCACTTGCTAAATTATGATTTTGCCCCTTTACATCAATTTTGAAAAATGTGATATTAGGGAAAAATTTGTCATTTTAATTTCAAATAGCATTTCAACACATTTTTCAATACAACAACTCAAATAAAAATCCATCCCATCTTCCCGAACACAAAAATTAAAATAGCCTACTAAAATAGTCAAAAAGCCAAAAAGCCTCTAAAATAGTCAATTCCCAAACGAGGCCTATATGTTACTAAGTTTTTTGCTATTTTGGCACCAAGTTGAGGTTATAGAGATAAAAATTTAGGAACAAAATCACTTCTTTTTTTTTTTTACAGCTAAATATTTTAGTTGTTAAAATGACATTATTGGTCTTTTAGCGATAAAATTGGATATTTAATAATTTACTATCCATTTGGGATCAAAGTTTAGCTCAAAATGTAAATTATTTTGGCGTGAAGTTGTTTTGTCCTAAAAGTGTATTTAATAGTGACATTTTTAAAATTTTTGTTGCTAAAAGCTTTTCTTTTTTTAACTGTTTGGAGCAACCTTTTAATGATGACCTTAACAATGACAAGAATTGATTTCTAAATATTTTTTAACAACAAATTTTTTACATTTGAGGACAAATATTTAATTCTTAAAACCTTCATATATTGCCGTGAATTATGAATTCGAATTTAAATTTCAGCTCATTCAATTAACAATGAGCTGGACACACATGAATGCTTTCTGCAAAATGAAAAAAATTGAAGCACCAGCAAATTGTGGAGTTTTCCCATATTTGTAATTAAGCCTTTCATTTAATGAAAATCTGCAACAATTAAATATAGATTTTCACTCTTCATTTCATCCTGAACAAAACAGACATAAACGGAAAAAGTTTCGTATGAAGCTAGCGCTCTAAGTATCTGCCTTCGACATTCATCCTTTCAAGCCTACAAAAGAGGGGTTATAATGTATATAATAATGCAAATTTTTTTTTTTATTTTCATTGGAGGTTTGAGCTGTGTTTAAGTTTAATATTTAAAAAGTCAAGTTTAAGTAGGAGTATAAAAATGGCCTACGACCCAGGATGGGCTGACTCGATTAGGCCCGAGCCCAGCCCAGGACCCTGAGCCTGGGCTTGGGCCATCATTTTATAGCCCGACCTGTGGGCCTGGCTTGGCCAATCGGCCCGTTCAAAGCCCACTCAAAACTCGGCCTAAGGCCCGGCCCACCAGAGGCCCAATGTCATTTTTGGTGGAAAAAAAATAAAATTTTGGTGAAAAAAGTAGAAAAAATTGTTCAAGCCCTGCCCAAGCCTAAACCTACCGACCTGGCCCTCCCAAGGCCTGAATGCCCCTGGGCTAGGGCCTAATTTTCTATCTTGTGGGCCGAGTTGAGCTAGCCCAAATTTTGGCTAGAGCTCGCGAGGCCCGACATGGACTTGCCGGAGCCCAGGTCGGGCCAAATTTACACCCCTATTTAAGCATGTTCAATCGTATAATCTAGCTGAATTTGAGTTCAATTAATAAACAAACCAAGCTTGTATATAATCCTACTTAATTAGATTTGTTTGAAATTCCAAGGGTAACTATTGGGCTTATTTCACGAACTATTGTTATATATGCATGAAAATGAGTTGGCGTCAGAAAATTGTTTGAATGTAGTGGATCCTACACAACTAGAGTGATGAAAATTGTGTCAAGATATTAAGAAACTGCAGAAAAGCAATACCAGAAAAAACTGAAAAGATTATTATGGTTGATACGGTTTTGTAGCCTAGTGGCAATGACCTATTTGACAACATAGGCATGGCAATGGACCTAGTAATGCTTATGTTGCTTGGAGCTGGGGAGGAGAGGATTGAGTTTGAATAGAAAAAGATACAAAATAAAGGAGGATTCGTGCACTACAACATCATCAAAATTCCAGCTTTACAGTCAATTATCGAGGCATATCCACAGTAACTGGCAGCTAATGGTCTTCAAATTCAATAATGAGTTAAGAACAATAACAAATGTACCAACAAATATATAGATTAGGCAGAATATTAAGTAGACCTCACACAAGCAATGGAACCGACATGTTATATTTACTGGTATCTTTGTTAGTGTTCCTAGTATTATTGTCCCTAGATAATAAAGTCTTGTTTGGTGTAACTCTCAAAACACAGTTTTTGAAAAAAAAAACTTCCAAAATTTTGTTTGGTTGGAAATTTTTTGAATTTTTTTTCCAAAATCACTTTCTCTCTCCTGCACATCAATCAATCATTTTTTCTCTCTTCTTTCTCATTCTCAATCACTTTTTCTCTCACACACATCTATTCAACTATAACAAAATATCAAATCATCTCAAACTCCCATACTCCAAAATTATTTCCAAAATATACAACCAAGCAAACTAAAAAAATTTCTAAACTCTTTTCCCAAGATTTTTTTAAAAAATTTATTTCCCAAAGCTAAACCAAACACACCCTAAGTGTTCCAACCGAAACTATTTCCTATTATCTCTTCTAATATTTTTTAGCAAGCTTCCATTGTTTGGTCGAATAATGGTTGAGAGAACAACTACTTCAATTTGTATGATTTACATGTAAGAATATATATATAAAATGCCAAATTGTTCATTCAAGGTAACTAAAAAGGGTCTCTTAAGGCCTCATTTGGCAACTCAATATTTTAGTCCAAAAATCAAAGTCACTAAGAAAACTAAAGAGCCAACAACAATATCAAAAAATTAAAGATTTTCATTTCTCTCTACTTTTTGCACATCCTTTTATAAAAAACCAAAAAGTTATTCCAAATATATTAATTTTTTTACTTCATATTTTGGCTAAAAAATCAAAAAATTACTAAAATAATATATTTCCAATTGAGGCTGTTACTCTTTCATTTCTTTAGATAATAACTAGGAATTATATCCTAGACATGGTCTTTTGGACCAAACTCAACAACATAAACATAAAGATCACGATCAAAGATTGTGATAAACATGGGTTTTGATTGCAATGGGTCTTTAGCTGACGTTGGCGGTGACACAAGGGCTTCCATCGCATTATGTAAAATGTATTATGTGTGTGCGTACCGGATACTGCACTAGATGAAAGTGGATCAGAGCTCCGCAATCGACTGGACTATCCAGGAATTGAGGTCCTGCACCAAGGAACACTGTAAGAGCTGCCCGGTCGGGGTTGGCCGGATAACCCATCCGGTGTGGGAATGAGTAATCAGAGAAGAAGTGAGGTGCCCTCTAAGTGTAGAGAGTTGAGTTTCAAAATAATCAAACATAACTTTGTGCAATAGTAGAAACAAGTTTTTTGTTTTTTGCAATAGCGAAGTCCGAATCACCAAAAAAATTGCTAAATTAAATCAATTCAGGAAAGTTTATGTAAAAGTTTTTAAGGTTGTGTTTGGGAAGGAGTTATTTTTTGGGAGATTTGGTCAAAACCCCTTATAATAAAATTTTAATTCATTAAAAATAAGTATAAAAGTTTTCCTTAAAAAGTCTAACACGTACTATTATTATCAAAATATTAAACTTTAAAATAATATAACTTTTGATGTAGATGCTGGTTTTTAGTAAAATTACTCTTTATAAAATTCTATCATCAAGATCTATCAAATAAGATCTATGTTGACTATGAAATTCTAAAAAAAAAAAAAATTATGACCATTGAACTTGATGTAAATAGTAACAGTAACATGTTACCCTGTTTGACAGTAACATATTACTTTAGCAATATTATCTTAAAAAAAAAAAAGAAAAGAAGATATTTTACTTTATTCTTGCTCAATTATGTCTTTTCTCCTTAAAGGGTTTAAGTAGCAAAATAAATTGGGCAATTCTTTTCACCAAATAAGGGTTCAATGGAGGGTTTTGGCTAAATTTCTCTTATTTTTTGGACTTATTAACCATTTGGCTTGTTTAGTTTTTGTGTTTTGGAAGATGAGTTGAATTTTTTGGTTGATTACTGCATTGAAGAATGTCTTTGAAATGATATTTGAATGAAAAATGACTAAATGGCCCCTAACCTAATAAAATCACTTTTTCTCAAATAACAAAGTCCTTACTAATGTGGGATGTTTTAGGAGGCAAAATTATCACTTAACCACTTGTGCTGACAATTTGTGAACCACGTGATGCTTCATTTCTTCATTTTTAGGCTTTTGAGATTTATTTATTTATTTATTTATTTTATTTTATTTTTTTTTTTTGAGGTTGTTTTAGCCCCTAACTTGTTTTTGCCAAACCTAGCCTAAGTATGTTAAAACCAGTTTCGAGATTTTGATTTTTAGCTAAAAGGTTAAAAAAATTATGATAAATTATCATATTATTTTCTTTATTTTTCTGTATATTTGTTTTATAAAAGTCAAAAAATTAATTAAAATAGATAATTCCCAAATATGAACCTTATTTTTTTAATTTGTAATTTTGTCCTTTATTTAATAAAATTACGTAGTACTTAAATATAGTTTTTCACTCTTCATTTAAATGGGGTGGTGAGTCATGGGGGAAGTGGAATCACGATTGTAGCAACCTCCTGCTATCTGGACACCTGTCGTGTCAAGCACTCAAATTATTAAGGAGAAATTACAAATTAGTGGGATAATAAAAAAAAGGGCAAATTATAAAAAATAATGTCAGGATTTTGAGTGTTTTTTAAAGTGAACCTCAGGGCTTTAATTTTGACTAATTAAACCTTGTAGTTTCTTCTGTGTTTTACTGTGAACCCTTCATTCATATCTGTTTGATTGAACTAACGGAATCTAAACAAAATTTCAGATTCAAACACACATGTTCAGACATTTTTATCTCCATTGTCGTAACTCTGTTTCGCCTCATTTTTGCGTCATTAGATTCACCTCATGGCATAATTTTCATTCCACCCCTCATACGCCATGTTGCACCTCTTTTTGTGTGTCATCAAAACTTTGAAAGTTGGCTAAAAATAAGATTTTTCTCTCTTTGAGCGAAATTTTGAGATTCAAACACACATGTTCAAGCACTTGTATCTCCTTTGCCATAATTCTATTTCGCCTCATTTTTGTGTCGTTGAATACTTCTCACGGTCTAGTTTTTGTTCCACCTCTCATAAGTCTTGTTCCACCTTTTTTGGCATGCTATCAGAGGTTCGAAAGTTGGCCAAAAATAAGATTTTTCTCCCTTTGGACAAAATTTTCATATTCAAACCTGTATGTTCAAGCACTTGTATCTCATTCATCGTCACTCTGTTTCATGTCATTTTTTTGTTTTTGGTTGAATTCACTTCATGGCCTAGTTTTCATTTCATCCCTCATGCGCCTTGTTCCACCTCTTTTTGCATGCCATCAACGCTCCAAAAGTTGGCCAAACATAAAAATTTTATCTTCTATCTTCATGCTTGTTTCTTCCTACTTCCTTTCCACAATTATTCACTTTTTTTTCCTTTTCCTTCATGGCCCTTCCAACGAGCCCATGGTGGCCACCGAACCTCCGATGGTGGGGGTGTCGTCGAGTATGAATGTATAAGTCCCTTTGACTGTATCTGTACGGGTGACGTGAATATGACGTCACTTATATGTATGTAAGTTTTTAAATTTTTAGTCCCATGTATGTCTATACAGCTCTATGGAAATTATATGTTTGTATTTGCTTTCGCTAGCCCCTATATTTTGTTTAATCTGTTCAAAGGGCTTCGGTAATCCCAAGATTACTAGCCGGTTACGATACTAAACCTATAGGGGCTGGTTTAGGTCGTGACACTCAGGAAAAATATTTCTACTAGGAAATAAAAGACTAACGGGAACTAAATCTACTATTGTACCACCACGCTTCACATGCAACTATAATGAATTGGTGATTGTGCTAAGGGCATAAGATGTGGGTGTGTGCACAGTTCGTTCGAAGAAACTAATGCTATTATTGCTAATGAACATGCCACCTTGTAGATTGAATATAAAATTAAGTCCTAAGATGAAAGGATGATTTCGCCGAGCATTCCCAGTCCAAAACTGGGGTAAAGTGAACCATTTGATATGTTGAGTTTGAGATCCTATATGATGAATACTAGTTTGTGCTTTATTAATGCAATGCGTATATGTTTGTCTAGTACCATCGGCTATGCTGACTAAAGCTAGGGTAACTAAAGGTGAACTCCATCTGGGTGGAACTATATGTTGTTCGATATATGATTTACTAGCTCCTATATCTATCATGACATATACACTACGAGTTGTTTCTGCGAATTTGATTACACATGATATCTCAACTAAATTTAGTTTGGGTATGACAGGGTAATTAAATGGTAAATATGCCTTGTTAGACTGTGATTGGGAATATTGACTAAACGGTTGAGAATCAACTAGGTTAACTAATTCTAAAGAGTGCATATGTTCCTCAAGGGGTATTTATTTTGAAATTGTTCTAACTATTGTTTAAGTTGTTTATTTTCTAATGTTAAAATTTCTTTGTCAAGGTAAGTTTTATTTTTCGGTCTCATGTATTTGTAGTTAAAGTTCTTTGACTTGTATCTCTAATTCTCTAATTCATAGTCGCAATTCTCTATTTTCTAGACTATGATCTACTCACATCTCCTCTTTATTTTTGACTGTTACTTTATGTGTCATATTCAATTTTTCTAAACAAATTGTACAATAAGTTACACTACGTAATATACATTGAGTTATCTTATTTTTAGCTGGAAACCAATTAATATAACTGTATCGGGTGGTATTAAATTCTAGTCCAATCATAAAGTTATGTTGACATTCATCAGCTGGATTGTGTTCTTCTGTCATCACAAAGAAACCATTATGGGAAGAGGCTATTCCTATTTCTTGGTTAAGTTGTCCTAAAAGATTATTTTTAAAGAAACCATTATGAATGGCTAGTCATGCTT